GGAAGGAAGGAAGGGAGGGTGGGTAGGAGAGAAGCAAGGAGAAAGAAAAAGTATGGAAATTTTTGACCCAATTCTCACCTGCCTCCATGGGCAGGAACCAGGGAAAAATGTCTACACAGGGAACTGGGAGATAAATGGATGAGTCCAGGTGTCTACCAGCTCATGGCTCACTTTTCGCATGGCTTGCCTGGTTCTGGAAACATCTCAGCCTGTTGACAGCCTCAACAAACCTTGCTGTCCCCTGACTATAGTCAGGAAGGGTGCCTCACTGGGATACAGCAGGCTACCCAAACAGGACCCTTAAAATGCACAAAGATGTACCCAATTCTGGTGAGCACTCTGAGATTTCTGCCACCTCTCTATGACCCACACACCCCCAGGCTGGCAGCAGCCAAGGAATGTCCATTTCCAAAGGCAGGCACAGGGCAGGTTCCAGGGTCACAGCCCAGACAAAAGGGCTTCAGGAAGGGAAGCTGGGGAGAAGGGAGAATGGATGGATGTGTAAATGGCTGGTCCAGTTCTGCAGTAGCGCCCCCACTAACCTTGTTTCTGCCCTGTGTCGATGCCAAGCGAGGGGCTCCCACAAGACAGGGGAGACGAAGTCCCACTCTGTCTCTCTCTCACTTGCTGCCCTTGGCTTCTCCCAACCTCCCTGCTCTGAAGTCTAGCCCTCAAGACCCACCTCCAGACACTGTGGGCTTCCACCAGGGCCTCAATTTGGCTTCGCAGAGATGCCCCAAGGGATACCAGGACAAGCAAAAAGTGAATCGCCTCCTACTTGTGGGGTCAGAGTGAGGCAGGCTAAAACCATGTATTAAAAAATGTTGCCCTGAGCTGGCCCTCACCAAAGCAGACAGGTTTTGTTGTGTTTTTCATTTTTGGTTTGGAGGGTAGCTGGGGATGGTGACAGTGGAGGTGAAGAGGTAATTGAATCCATGGGCCATCTACCACTCAGCTGCATCCCCAGCCCATTTTATTTTTTATTTTGAGACAAGGCCTCACTAAGTTCCTGAGGTTGGCCGCAAACTTGCAATCCTCCTGCTTCAGCCTCCTGAATAGCTGGTCAGGCAGCCGGGTGAATCCCAGGCATGGGCCACCACGCTCAGTTCAGAAAACAAGGTTTGTTAGATGCACAGCTATAGAATTGCTCCTTTGCTAAGACCAGCCCTCAGATAATTCCCAAATCCCAGTGGTAATCAATCTCCTTCTGGGACTCCCTTCCAATTGGTCAACCCCACCTCTGCACAGGTTGAGTATTCCTTATCTAAAATGCTTTGCACCAAAAGTGTTTGGATTTAAGATATTTTTCAGATTTTGGAATATTTACATACATATGTATGTATGTATGTAAATGATATATATTGGGGACAGGACAAGACCCAAGTCTAAACACAAAATTCCATTTATGTTACACCTCATGCACTTGGCCTAAGGGAAACATTCACAATGTTTTTATTATGTCTGTATTTTTACCACAACCCATCACATGAGGTCAAGTGTGGAATTTTCTACTTGTGGTGACGTGTTGACAACGTGTTTCAGATTTGAAAGCATTTGGGATTTCAGATTTTTAAATTAGGGATCTTAACCTGTAGTTCCAAAGCAGACTACTGTGTCCTGTGAACATGGGCTGAGGCTGCAGGGGAGGGAGGTTATGCATAGCCCCAGGAGCACTGGGCCCTGAAGCTGAAGGAAGTGCTGGCGGGAGGGGTCTGGATTTGAGCCTCATCCACCCACATCAGTAAACTAAGGGAGGGGATTCACCCAGCTGCCTGACCACTACAAAGTGACTCCAGGCCTCACCACTCCACCTCCAACAGCGGAAAGCCCAGACCCAGGACTGGCATCCAGAGCCTTTGAGCCCTACCCCTTGCCAGGCACCCTCCACCTTATCTCTGGGCACCCAGGATAGCAGCCATTCTCCAGTAAAGCCTGGTTCTCCTCCCCACACTTGGTAACCTTTGCACATGCTGCTCCCTTCACCCACAATGCCCTTCTCTCCTTCTCACAGACTCCCTAGGGAGATTTCATCACGTTCTCCTTTGGCCTCCATCTTGCAGTGCAGAATGCCACACTCTGTGGTGTCTGGCAATGAAAAGTCAACTCTAGCACATGACAAGCAGCAGACACCTTAAGGAGGCCTCTCCCACTGCCCACCATCAGGGAAAAACCTAGAGGGAGTCAGGGCTTGTTCGTTACTGGGGATTTAGGAGGTGGGGTGCAGGTACTCTTACTCCCCCAAAAGCCACTGGGGTTGAACATTTTCCTGGCCAGTATAGCTCTCCAGCCTGATCATTGGACAAATAAGTTTGTGACAAGGAATTAAGAGCCACTGATGGGTCTTTTCATCAGGAAAGGTACCCCAGAAATCCCCAAAGGACAGTCCTGCAGGGATTTCTCTCTCTGGGCCTGAAAAACAAGCCTAGTGATTTTCAGCCTTCATATAACAACAGTCACTGAGAAGAGAGCAAATCTTGGAAAGCCACAAATCCTCAGACTTTGGACCTCTGGTCTCAGGATTCCCGAGGGAAAGCAAGTGAACTAGCTGCACATATAAGAAAGGGTCCTGAGAAATAGAGATGGTTTCCTTCCCCAGGCTTCCCCCATAAGCTGCAGGCTAGCACCTAAAAATGCTGCCAGAGAGAATGGGGAAGGTATAAACATGGAATGGTCACTTTTGAAGTAATCACCTCTAGGACGAGCCCTCTGTCGTTGACCCTGAACAGCAACATCCACATGCATGTAGAACTCTGTGTAGAAACCAAGCAAGACAGCAAGTATGGACCTGTGTCTGCCACCCCAGCTGTGATTGACAGGAGAAGACAGGAGCCCAGTTGGTTTGGGTGTGAGGATAAGCAGAGCCACAACAACCAGCCAGTCAGACTCCACCCTCCCCAGGAGACCACACCCACCAAGCAGAGCCAAACTCACCCTTCAGGGAGGCCACGTGTGACAAGGCCTGGGCGTAGGTGGCTGTGTTCAGGAGGGTCCCTGGCAAGCAGGAGGGGAAGAAGGGACCAGCAGGACCCACAGTTCGCCCCAGGCTGGCAAAGACAGAAATTTTCATTGAGTGCCCTCCTGTGTCTGTGGAGCTGCCTGAGCCCCCTGGGCCCCAGGTGCAGCCGGTCTCACCTCTGCTGGGCCTCCAGCGCCTCTTTCTTGTTCCGGCCCTGGTCCCCGGGGGGCGGGGAGTTGATGTTTCTCACTGGTGGTGGCGTCACCTCTGCCATGGGCTCCTTGGCACCTGGTTCCTGGTCGGAGGCTCCTCTCTCTGTTTTCCTCCACTTGGCTCTTCGGTTCTGGAACCAAACCTAAGTCAGAATGGGAAACACACCCCAAGGGAAGCATAAAATCAGAAAAGAGGGAGGAGCCAGAACCCCACGTGAAGGTCTAGACCCCCGGCAGGTGCCCATGGCTCACCCTGCAGCCCCTGCCTACTTTGTACTCTCTGAACTGAGCTTCTGTCCCATGGATGGGTTGGATCAGCTTCCAAGCTTATGACAGGCATGTTTCAAGAATGAATGTTGAATAATAGAAAGTATTTAAATGCATTGCCCACAGGAAGGGTAAAAGTGTTGCCTTGTGGAGATTCTCAGAGCTGCGTTGCCCGGAATCCATTTATTTGCTGCTGGGGGATCATGGTCAAAGCAGCTTGGAAAACACCACTCCAGGCCTTCTCATCAAAAAGACTCATTCAGTCATCCAACAGGCTGAAGCCTGGGTGTATCTGGTCTCATACCTGTCGTCTAACTTCGAAATCATCACAAGTTCATGACCAGCTCAGTGCACCTAATAGAATCCCTGACTCTGGAGTCGGCCATGATTCGGAATTCTGGGCCTCGGTTTAGACCCATTGCAACCTTATGAGGTAAGTAGTCCTGCTGTCCCCATTTTACAGATAGGGAATTAAGCACAGAGAGGTTAATTAATATGCCCAAGGTTGTCCAGATGGCAAATGACAAATCCACAATGTGAAGCCCAGTGACTTGGCTCAGGACCATGATTCAAACTGTTTCGAGGACAATGATAACAGCAACCCCAAGCATCGTTAGGAAGGTTGACACGCATGTAAAACACTGAACACAGTACCTGGCACATAACAATCGATCACTCAATGAGTATTAGCTAGTGTCATCATCTCTGGTATCCTCAAGTCAGCAGGAGGCTTGTGATTCACCTTGATTTAAGCACCTTCTTG